TCCGCCCCCCGTCGTCCCCGTGCGGCCGTCCGGCCCGGCACGCCCCCTCCCCGTCGCGGGGTTCCAGGGCCTCGCTCCAGGCTGCTGCAGCGCCGCAGGGAAGTGGGGCGCCCGCGCGGGAGCCGGAGCCGGTGGTGGCGGAACCGTCCCTGTGACTCCCGCAGGACAGTCGGCCGCCGCCTCTCGGCCGTGCGGACCCGGCGCGGGGGACTTTGCCCAGAAAGCCAGCTGCCCCCTGGGTCCACTGCTCCTGACCTCTGCGTCAGTGGCCTCCACCCTGTCTCAGCTTTCCTCTACCTCTAAGCAATGAAGAAATAAATTTATCCAATAAGTTTATCCAATTGGATAAATGTATCCAGTTATATCCAAGAAATAACATATCCAATATGTTACTTTGGAGTAGCGTTAAATTCCGGGATTGTCCCTGTGTTGTGAATTACCCAGGTTTCACGTAGTAGAACACACCCACAGAGCCTTCCTCAAGTGGCTCAGTTACCCGCCCGGGGCGCCTGTGTGCCCAGGAAGAGGGAGTTCTCCCCCTCCGCATTTGTGACTTTCTCCAAGTGGCCGGAAGCAGCCATCAGTCCCCACTTACAGCTTTCATGTCGATTTCTTTCCTGCATTTGAGGAACCTGCTTCTGTCTTTCTTCCTCTCAGCCTGGAGGGTGTCCGGTTGTAGAGAATGGAAGGGAATAGAGTTCAGAGAGGTTAAGCAGGGAAGCCAGGACCGCACAGCACAGCGCTGATCTGAAAGGCCTGGGAGAGGAGCTGGGCTTGTTCCTCCTGTTCTTACTGTGCCAGGAAGATGGAAACACCCGACGGGTCCTTTTCACGTCCCTGCGGCGGCTCTCGCCCAGCGCTGTCGGAAGCACAACAGCAGTCACAAGTGTGAGCCATTTAATTTGTGTTATATATTTTATTTCACTCAGCATCTGAAAAATATTGTCATTTCAACATGTAAAGCAAAAAAAATGCTGTTACCAAGCACAGTAGCGGGCCCTGTAGTCCCAGCTGCTCAGGGGGCTGAAGTGGGAGGGTTGCTTGAGCCTCCCGGTTTGAGACCAGCCTGGACAACATAGAAGACCCTGTATCAGAGAAAACGTTGCTGTATTTTACAATCTTTTGTTTGTTTGTTTGTTTTACTGAGGATTGGAGCCAAGGCCTTCACACTGAGCTACGTCCCTCCCTCCACCCTTTTGAGACAGGGCTCATGGGTCACTGAATTGCCTAGGCTGGGCTCGAACCGCGCACTCCTCTTGCCTGGGTCTCCCCGAGTGCTGGGAGGCGAACGCCAAGGGCCTGGCTCTGTTTTCTTACCCAGTGCTGTGGGACTGACGTGTATCCTTCAGTCACAGCGCTTTGGGTTTGGACGCGCTGCGCTGCGGCACGCAAGGGCACGTGTGGCTCGGGCAGCGCAGATCTAGCCCCTCGTCCTGCACACAACAGGCAAGGAAGAAGTTCTAAGACTAAACAAAGGTGCTTTTGAGACCTTATTGTGTGGTAAAGGGAATCCACTCCTGCTCCCTGTGAAAAGGGCTTGAGGGGGCAGGACCGGAGCCCAAGGAGTGGAAGCTGAGCACCTTCTCTCGCAGCACAGACGCGAGGCGCTGTCTGCAGCCTCCCTGCTGGAAACGCACAGGGCCAGGACCGCTCTGCACAGCAGGGACGGCGACCTCGCCTGGCCTGGCCTTCCCGTGGGGGCGCTAGTCTGAGCGGAAAGATGTACTTTGGAGCCCCTAGAGGGGGGTTTTCTCTGGCCCCTGTGCCCCCCGCCAGTGTCCTGCAGCTCCAGGAGGGCACAGTGGCCCTGCGGTCGGTAAAGGGAGGATCTCAGGCAGCTCCCCGAGAGCCGGTAGCCTGGCGTGGGGTACACTCATGGGGGGCCAGCGACCCTCATACGAGAGCTCTGCAAACCTGAAGCCAGAGGAGACACTGCTCGGGCTCCTCACCTGTTAGGGCCTTTCGTCACCCCTGACAGAGCAATAGCCCTCGGGAGAGCTGTGGGGGTGGTGGCCGGTGGCCTAAACGTGCCCTGCCCTCCCCTCCATTCCCACATCCCTCGGGTTCTAACAGGGGCAGGTGGGAACGGGTGTCCATGTGTGTTTGTATCTGTGAGGGGGGACAGAACACATGCTGTCTCCCCGGCTCCTAACCCTGCGCTGTGCTGCAGTAGGAGGCAGAGGGGTCGCCCTGTTGAAATTCTGAACAGCACCTGACTGTTTAAGCCCTGCAGTGATGACAGCCTTGCGGGTGGGTCAAGGTTATTCTCGATGGGATGAGACCTCGACAAAGCAGAAGCTCAGTCAGCAGGATTAAGAACACAACCAAAACAGTTCTGGGTTTGACTCCAGTGCGAAGGTTCCCGCCTGCAGGGCCGAGGCTCGGGGGCTGCCAGGCCCTCTTTCCACAGGCACGGGGGTGCTTGTGCCTGGTGGGGTGGGGGCTCCTTGACCTTTCTAGGTAATTCTGGAAGACTCCACGCCCAGCTTAGATACCCTGGCTGCACTGTGAAGGGAGCCCTTACAGACGGCAACCCTGCTTCCCAGCTGCAAACCCAGACAAACTTGAAAAATATGTACCGAGCACTGAAAGCGCCAGCCACCCATTTGTGCTCCGGCTGATTTCTGTCTCCTCAAAAGGGAGGGAGAAGGGCTTCCCCAGGTGTCCCCGGCTGTCAGTCCATGTTCTCCTTTGTGTTCAGGGGGAGCCCTGGCCCCAGAACACAGCGAGGTCCTGGGAGGCGGAAGCCTGCATCCTCAAAACAGCAGCATGTTGACAGCCCCTCCCTGGGCTAGGAGGGCTTGAGGGGCAAAAAGGGCCCAGCCACTATTGCTGGTACAGAGGAGCTACGGTTCAGTTTCCATGGGGTGACAGGGAGAGGAGCCCCTGGAGGTACATGTCTGCATTTCTTCGGGCTCTCAGTGGTGGAGTCGAGCCTTGGTTTTTCTTCACTGAGTTTCTTCTCCAGGTCTGGAGGTGTCAGCCCTGGGTTGAGGAATTGAAACCCTTCCCTCCTACAAAGACATGGCTGAGCTGGGGAGTGAGGTCAAGGGGTAAAGGGGAAGGTTTGCTTCGGCTCACGGTGTTGGAGGGTCCCGTCCATAGGTGGCCGCTCCCTAGTTTCTGGGCCTGTGGGGAGGCAGCCATGGTGGTGGATGGGATGGTGCAGCCACAGCCAGAAACAGAGAGCAGACAGCCAAAGAGGAAGGGGTGGGGAGGGGAGGAGACATGGTTCTCAAATGCATGCCCTTAGGACCGGTTCCCTTGAGGCCCTGTGTCCCCATCACCTCTCAACAATGCCATCAGGGGGCTGGGGATTTAGCTCAGTGGCACAGCGCCTGCCTGGCAAGCGCAAGGTCTTGAGTTCAATTCCCGGTACTGGAGAAAAACAAATAAAAAACAATGCCATCAGATGTGAATCCACCAATGCTTCATCCACTGGTGAGCCTGGAGCACTGCCCTGCTCTGTTTGGTCCACGCCTGTTTCTGTCTCCTTCTTGGTGCTTTTCTGGTCCTCCTGGTTCTTTCTGATGCTGACTTCTTGGGCACTGTGATTCCGCTTCCCGTTTGACCCACCTGTTCCCCAAAGTCACAGGACCTGCCCTGCCCTGTCCTATCAAAAACCTACAGTCCTGATTCTGTACTTCCCGGCTGTAAAAGCCTATAAAAACTCCACACTCCCCAGAGGGCGGGGTCTGGTTTTCCTTGCTGTTGGGAGTGGCCCTGCCAGGACCACCACTGTAGAATAAGGCTGTTCTCTGCCTCCAAGTCCTAGGTATTGTTTCAGTGCTTCTGCTTGCCATAGCAGCTTCACCTCACCTCCCTTCTCTCCAGCATTTGCTATTTGTCCCCAGCAAGAAGCAGACTCTCCTTTTGATTGGATCTAAGGGTAGACAGGGGTGGTGAGTGATTTTATGATCAGAACTA